TGGCTAGAGCTTGGAATGACACCAATATCTTTAAGGGAATTTTCCAGGTAACCCTTCAGTGCAGGATTATCTAGCTTGTTCAGGGGAATGTTTGCCGCTGCAAATACACCTACCAACTTTGAAAGTTGAACACCACGGTGTTGCTCTTGAAGGGTTTTTTTTCCAAACAACTTTTCAATACCTGTTTGAGTTACACTGGGTTCACTGGTTTTCTTTTTTAGATGTAGTTTACTTTTTAAATGTTTTTCACAGCTATCTTTCCTCGAAAAATCTACTGGAACATTGCAATTGGCACAAAACAAAAGATTCTTTCTTACTTCAAAAGTTCCTTTTTTTATATTGCTAACAACGCTCGAGAGCAGTTATCTTGCTCGTATGGCTCATTTTACCATCTAAGAAGAACTGAAAACTTTCCTTAACCTCGCTTGAAAATGAAATGAGATATTTTGAGTAGACTTTGCATTATTTTTGTAGGAATGAAAGTTACAATACACTTTCCTGTTATCCATCAAAAGATTAAAAGAGCCGCTCTTGAGTATGCTATTGTTAACAAGCATTTCCACATGCCTTTCGGTACCTATTGAAATAATCAGTGTATATATATGTACCTTCTCACTACAAGGAATTTCCTGTGAAAAAGTCAATTTTTCTTCTTCTTTTGTTTTCCTTTATCTTTTATATTCTAGTTGACTGTTAGGTAAGGGAGGCATTGGTGTCAATCAGTCAACAAAAAGATAAGGAGACCACCCTTTTTGTGACCACCAGTCTTCAATCAACTTTTCAGTCCTACTAATTCCAGCAATGAAATTCAATCCCCCAAATAATTTGTTAACTACAAATGTCTAGTGGCTGCCCCCCTCCCCTTTACATGGTGAGTGCCATAAGATGGGGGCTCATACAGTGAGAGGACTGTCCCTCTGGTCAATGGAGGGGAGATAAGAATTGATAGATTTATGAAGAATTAGAATGTAGAAAATCTTTATCTTTCAGTTTGTTCATGGTATTCAATTTCAATACAAAATACTTGTATAGAGCCTAACCCAATTCTAATGTCATTTTGCTAGATACTTTTGTGAATGCTTTGAAAAAATATAATCAATTTTTAAACTTCAAAAAAATAATAACTACAAAATATATTTTTATTGATAAGATAAAACAGAAAAAAATAACTTCAAATTGTGAATAATTTTCATTTAAATCGCGCGAATTGAATAACTTTCGCTCAAATCGCGCAATTTTCAAAAATTCGCGAAAATTCGCGCTGCGACAAACTTGCAACCCTAATAATAGTCTGATAATAGCATATACTTATACATGCTCTTTGCCATTACTAATTTTTTATCTAACAGTTTCATATCATTCATTTAAGATATTGTAGCGAACCTGATTCTGCAATATAATAGAAAAAATATAATCTACCACTACATTAATTCAATGCAAGACAAAATGACTAAAGTCAAGAATGAGGATCTTTTTGTTAGGCTTCAGCCAATTTGCTCTCATTAACACATACAACCTACATTGGAGACTCAAAAAGTAACTCATTTTAACAGGGGTATGCCTATTTCAACAAGAAAACAGGCTTAGACAAATAAAGATATATAATATTACAAAGTGATTTAGAGGATATCTACTTCTAACTGCAAATATTAATTTTTACAGTTAACTCGATTAAATGATAACAAGAAATACTAAAAAATTTAAAAGAGCATAACTTCTTGCTTTTTATTTTCTTCATGCATTTGCAAAGCAGCAGCCTCATCTTCTGTTGAAGAAAATTCCTCTTCACAGCGGGTAACTGGATTTGCGGGTCTTTTTAATCAGAGGCTCTTAATAAGTGAATCTAAGGAATCTAAATAAAAAAAAAAGGAAGGAAGGAGCAGATTATGATTATTGCATAAACTTTGATATTGAGGGGGAGGAACCCTCTCATATTAAGTTGAAGACAACTATGACAAAAATCAACTAAACATTTATTAACAACTGAAACATAACAAGCTAAAACAGAAACATAAAATTAAGTATGAGTGTGTGATAGAGACTGAGTAAAGTTCGAAGCTTCTTAAATACAAGGTTGCCGATCGTGTGTTTGTCACCCCATTGATTCCTTTGGCGACTACGCACCATGCCTGGCGCCACAATATTATCTCTTGTCTATTATGAACCTTTTATAGAATGCATATTTACCTTCAATGCGTAATATGTGTGCAGGGTAATAACCCTCACCTTGGAGAGAGCTGCCATACATCTTTAGGTGGAGGTTCTTGAAGATTACGCAATTTTAACATGCATTTCTCGTCACTTTCACTTTGAATGGAATGCACCTGTCGGCTCCAAAATACTTTGTAAATATTACCGACAAGGTACTCATTCAAATTAAATCTTTTAATAAAGCCCACGGGGACTTTACAAAACTGCTTGTCATTTATATAGTAAACAAATGCAAACATACTTGGAAATTTTTTAAAATTTATTCTAATAAATTTAGGATATATGGATATTTGTATTGACAATCAACCCTCTGTGCAATCAACCACACACGCACTTGTACACGATTGCAGTTACGGAATCGATTGCAGTTGATAATGTTGTGTTGGTATCCCGGCCTCAAAAACAAAAAAATCCCTCCGAGCCAACGCGCGACGTAGATTTTGAGGTCTGGAAAGCCTGGTTGATAGAGCGCTGGACTCACGTTTGGAAGGGCGGGAGTTCAAATATCACTGCCCGAAGAATCCCCGTGTAGTAAATGGTAACAGGTGCACGTTAAGCAAGTCTGGTTTCAAACTCCTCCATGTGAAACGATACGTCTAAGGGTACTGGATTGTAGTTTGATCGTTCTCTGGTTCAGGTCAAAATTACGATCTGTGGATAAAGGTGTGCGAAAAAGGCATTCCTGTAAAGCGGAATGTGATATATGTAGGCTGTCTCCCAGACCGTCACCAATAACCCCTGGATCATTAGTTGGAGTCCGTCAGGCTAACCGTTGGGGATTTTGTGGTTTTCCTCTCCCTGTAACGCAAATTCGGGTTAGCTCCATCAAAAAGTCCTCCACGAAGGCAAATTTTCTCCCAGTCCTTGATCCAGGAGATTTCTTGTCTACTGGATTGGTCTGTTTTTTGTTTGGTCCATTCAGGCTGTGTTAAAAAACAGGGAGTTAAAAAGAGAAATTACAACAAAGAAAAATACATTTTACAGATTTATTTATTTTTTGATGAGTGCTATTATAAAAGCCATACGGCTGAAATAGTGTGAATATGGGTACCGATACAGAAATTACAGTTTATTAAGTGCAATTTTAGTTTCGTCGATTCCGTTCAGGTATTTTTCATGATAAAGATGCACCTCGCAGAACCGGGCCGTCATCAAAAATCTCGATAAAAATACAGATATAATCAATTCTATGATTACCAACTATTAATATGATCACCAACTTCGTTCGAAGTTGGTTAACATACAACTATTAATAATTATAGCTTCACCCAAGAGCTAAGGATTGACCATAAAACAGTTTTAAACCATTTGCATAAAGCTTGTATCAAAAAGAAGTTCGATGTTTGCGTGCCTCAACAATTTTATTTACGAAGCCTGAGAGATTTGTATATGTAAATGAAAGTACCTACCTACCGACCAAAATATGTTAAATAATGTCTTGAAGTTCACGCAAAAATAATGTATTTCTTTTCCCCCAACTTAATAAATAAACAGCAACAACATTTAAATCTAATAAAATTTCTATTTCATAAAAGTGCTGTTTACTTGGTTATTTAAAATATATGGCAACAGTCCCACTAAAATTTTTACCGTCCATTTACACTTTCGGATTCATATAATTCCTATCCTTTTTCATCCGCTAGATCCATTAAATTTTTATCTTGGCTTTAGGCTCTTGGCTGGAGGCCTATATATATACGGCAATCCAAGTTCAGTCCTGCAAAACAAAATTATTCTTTTAGCACACTTTTACCGAGTCAAAACTCATCCTGGTTAATAATGAAATGAAGAAAATTTAAGAATTCAAAATCTTGCTTAGGCTCAAGGTGGCAAACATACCAATACAGTTTCAAAGAGCTTTGACGAGTAAAATGAATATATAAATGAACAAGAGTAATCAAAAAGCAAAGCTTGAAGTGTGCATTTTGTATTTTAATATTCATTTTAGTCATATTTTCCTGTGTAAAAGTTATGTAAAAGAAAACATTCCATTCATTCCATTTTGAGGTCCATTTCAATACTTAGCATTGCAGTGATTTAAAAATACACAAGTCCCACTGTAGACTAATGGTAAGGCACGGTTTTCAGCAGATTTTAGAAGCTAGCATCTCTGGTGAGCAGGTGGGTGACCTCTTTGATCAATCAGTCTGTCAAGTGACCTAGTGTATGGTATCGGTATCCTGTTAAACTATTTTGCCGTAAAGTAACTTTACGCGCTGGTTGTCGGGTTTAAAAGAGGGGAAGCCATTCCTTCTGCTGATTAAAATTTTGCTTTTTTTAGTGTTAAAAACATGTATACTGAAATATATTTTGAAAGAATATTTTAATAAAAAAATTATTATAAATGTATTTTATGTTTACATTTCGATGTAATAGTGAAAAAAAAACTGGATTGTTATCGAATAAGTGACTCATTATCTATCGATTTCATTCAATAAGATAATGTATTAAAAGCTGTAGTTGTAATTCATTTAAGTCACGCTAGAGCTCCACAATGGGCTATTGGTGACGGTTTTGGAAGCAACTCCCAATTGTGGTTGACGGTTGCCATCACAATTTGGTATAGAAAGGATGGCACTCCCGCTTCGACGACCCGGCGAGAGAAGTAGAACCGGCTGTGCACTAGTTTGTTCTCAGTGTAAATATGCCAACAAGATTATAAGCCAATAATAATCTTAATTATACTCTAAAACTATGCGAATATTAAAAAAAAAAACTGACTTAATTAACTGAACTTAAAATACTTTAAGCAATATATTGCAACAAACTATAAGAAAATATTTAATTGCTCACCTTGGTATTGCCTTCGATGTTGAGGTAAGGAAAGAGAAATCGCTGATAACAGCTCTGTTATCATACGAAATCAGTACATTATCTGCTTTCAGATCCAAGTGACCGATATCGTTTGAGTGCAAATAATTCAGACCACAAAGAGTGCCATGAAGCCACGATTTTAAGCAGTCTAGGGCACCTGATTGATTAAAAAAATGCCTGTCTAGGACTGTATGTAGCAAAGTGTTCCGCTGAATGGGCATCACAAAAATAGCTACATTCGGGCTATGGAAGTTAAGAAGGAGGGGGATAATGTTTGGATAAGACAATTTTGGCCAAATTTCAATCTCGCTTTTCCTGGCGACTTCTAGGGGAACAATTTTCACGGCAACTTCTCGGCCAAATAAGTCAATCATTTTGTACAAGTCGCCAAACCCAAGTTTGTTCACGCATACAAAATGATTGGCTTCCAAAATCTTCATGGCATCCATTTTGTGGTGGTGATGTTGACCTGAAAAATCAGGAGGTTCATATAAATACCGGTCGCACTGCATGTTATCAGTGATATTTACGAGCTTTCTCGAACTTTTTTTTATCAATACGCAGGAAACAATTCCCAAAATCAATTTGCTGTAAAGCAAGAACTCTAAGAAGCACGTTCAATCTTAAAGGCACAAGTTAGAATGACCAAAAATTGTTTAACACAAGCTTAGATTGTTTTTTAACAATGAAAATGGTTCATTGTTCATACACTAACAATAGATATAAACAATAGATTATTTTTTCTTTCATCTAAGAAATCAGAACTAATTGTTGGAAAGTGAAATGAATAAATTTGAAATTAATGTTATTTAAACTATCATATAAAATAGCATTTAAAAGTGAAATAAGAATCTTTCAATACTTATTACATAACCCTTCTATGCCATTCACAATTCATTTTTTTTAGAAAATTTGTTAAAAAAAAGTACTAAATAATAAGGAATCACACATCAAATTAACCAAAGACTAAACTTTTCAGCTATTAATTAATATTATTTTTTATAGTTTAAATTATTTAAAATTATCACATTAACCTATCCTTAAATGTATTAAAAACCTTATTCTTTCTAAACGTCTTTATTATAATATTTTTTTTTCTAGAGAACGAAATGGAATAAGGTTTGCCTTCGGTTTGGGGAAGAACTAAGCCGTAAATAGCCCGAATGCCCTAATCTGAACTCGGAGAAATACGCCCGTGTGAGATAATCTCTTTCACTTAGGTAGGAAGAGAATCTCCTCGAATGTTTTGCCATTAAAGAACAACAAAGTGTTCGATGAAAGTCTGTTGGGATAATCACTGGGGAATGTAAGACGAATAATGAAGCGAAAAAAAGTACCTTTAAAGAAAATACTCTAGAGGTTGCGATTTATGCATGGCCTTCAAATACAATGTAAACTTAACAGGCATCGGCTTTTAGCGCTATCATTCTTTTAACCGATCTACGCTGAAGTGTTTTTCTTAAAAGACAAAAGAAGAATGCACAGACAATAAATTTGTAATTTTACTTATATTATGCACCAGAAATTAAAATAATTTTAATTTTTTAACGTTAGCGCCACGCCTAAATCTCGAATCATCCATTTTAGTAATTCTCAAATTCATGCCTTGGTGCCGACGATAAACAATGTAAAATTCAACTGTATTTTTCATGGGCACCACGCGTATTAAATATGAAAATAGCGTCATCCGAGAAAGAGTGCCTTTTAGAAGTCTTTTAAAATTTTCTTTCTTTCTTTCTTTAAACAAAACTGGGTGACTAGGCCGCGCAGCGGCCCCTACCCCATTCATCATGAAAATTATATACAGTGAATAAAACATTTTGAATTATGTAACAATGTGGTAACATTATAATAAAGTAACCATGATTAGAAGTATGTACAAACTTGATCGGAGATTTACATTAATTGCCATTGAAAAATGAATACAGCCATGATTAAATGGATATACATGAAATACGAGCTTAATCTGTGATATTTACATTAATTGCAGTAGAAATTTGAAATTAAACATTAAAAATTGATGATAGCATATATATACAAAATCGTGATTCAAAACATGAAATACATGCTAAATCTGTGATATTTAAATTAATTGCAGTAGAAATTTGGAATTGAGCATTAAAAATTGATGATAGCATATATACAGAAAATCGGGATTCAAAATCATGAAGATTCTACATAAATTTTGCTAAGCCTTAGTGGCGCCATCTATTGTGATCAACATTAAAAAATATTAATTTGTATAGTAATAGAGATACTAACTAAAGTTCAAAAAAAGAGTTCAGGTTTAGTCCAAAAGTGACATTATTCAGGAGTGGACTTACGTATGATTGTTTTCAGCAGTTGTAAAACTTCTCTGTTTTTTAAAAGTTCTTTTAGTTCTTTGATGATTGAAATCAGTCTATGGGTTTGACCTGTCGTTGTAGATGGAATTGTAGCTAGAGTTGCACGAGGGCCTCTCCTGGGGGGACGGATGCTGCTTCCCGTGTAGTTGGCAGTGTGCGCCTCTCCACAGTTGCAGCACTTGGGTGGTGTATTTATGTCCTTGTGGCACTCAAAAGAACGATGGTCTGCGGCATATTTAAGACATCTTGGTTGTGAGCTGCAAATTCGCTGCGTGTGACCGTAATTTTGGCAGTTGTAGCATTGGATTGGGCTTCTCCCGCCGAGGAACCTTTCAATTTTCACCGGAAGGTCACAAATATTGGTAACTGAGAAGATTTGTTGATTTTGATCTATTTCGATTAGTATTGTGAGGAAAAGTGAGAGGAGCCTATAGGCCTCGCCCACTTTACTCTTGAACTGTATAACTTTTTGTGTTTTAATGCCTGTCTTGGCCAATTCAAGGGAGATATGACTTTTAAAATTTTGAAAGTGAATGAGAGCATTCAACAATAATTTCTTTTAAAGAATAGTGGTAGCAATTATACAATAACTTTTATATTGATGGTTGGAAGAACGAGAATGAACGCAAGTAACATAGTGGTGATAATTTTGTGACGAATAGGATGACAACAAAGTGACTTGACGAATTTTAGTGAGTTGATCAACTAAAACGAATTTTTATAATATTGTAATGAGGAAGAGCAACTAATAAAAAAAGGAGAAGTTGGCGATTCACAGGAATAATTTCTAGCAGAACTAAAATTAGTAGCGATTATTTTCGTAACGTGACAAACTTGGATCAATTAATCTCCAAAAACTTTTTTAATTAACCTAATAATATAATGTTAAAGAAAAGAAAAACATTAACGAAAAATAGTAATTACCGATTCACAGGAAAAAATTATAGCAGGACAAAAAAAAGAGTATTTATTTACTTATTTTTTGGGGGAGTAGGGTCAAAAATTATTGGGTAAAACATTGTTATTAGTACTTGTTTTCAAGTGTATATGAATATTTAAAAAGAAAAAAATCTACGGTTAAGTACAATTGATGAATAAAATTAGAAAAAAACAATGTCTCACACGCGACCATGAAATCGTTCATTTTCGAAAAAAATTGTTATAACTGAAAAATAAACAAAAAACTATTAATTTTCATCATAAATTATATGTCAACTTACTAAATGTGTCAAGATTGTTACAACGGTTCGCTGCTTTTTTCCCGAATTGGAGGAAATTGTATCAATATATTTATAAAATAATTGATAATCTATACATATCAAAATGAATGTGTGTATGTCCTTTATATATTCCTAAACCATCCGACAGAAAGCGAAGAAATTTGCCATACAGCTAGTTTCAAGCACGAGGAAGGTCACTGTCAACATTAGAACATTCTGCGACGAATATATATATCAAATGTCAAACCAGGCTCTAGCTACGTTTTCCAAATCCTCATTATTATAAAACTTTGAAAGGTCTTTCACAGTTTCAAAAAATGTTTCCTTGTTTGTGTGTTTAAGCACATTCGGATGAAAATGCATTCCTTTAATTGGAATCTGATTAGACTCTGAAAACCTAGTTTCAAGGGATATTATCAGAGAATCTAGATAAGAGAGAGGTCAACCCCTCCGCTCGCCCTTTAAGCAAGTGATAACGAAAGCAAACATGACCTTGAATTGCTTTAGAAAATACGGATTTTGTTGACTTGAAAAGGGCTTCGATTCGAAAGGCTTTATGTTCATTTTTTTAGAAATGCCAAAATTTCATTTTGTCCTATTTCGATTGGGCTCTAGCGAAAATCTAACCCGAGGCCCGGGCCCCTTCGGCCCTTCCCTATGGCGCCCATGTTGGTGAGGCTGGTGTGAATTCGATTTTTTTCGTACCCCACGTACAACAGCTTGTGTTGCCGGGCAACCTGCCTTCAGTTGTATGTAGGTCAGGTGTGGGGCAGATGTTGTCATGATATGTTTGTATGCAGCTGCGTTTTGTTATGTGATCCTGTGAGTACTCATTGAGGATATTATTGTTATCTGATTGTTGGATTGGAATGTTCTTCATTTACATATTGTTTGTGAAGTCTTTTGTTACATCGATAATGTTGATTAGTTTTTGTTTTATAGTTTTATTTTGGACGCTATCAGCAAACTTTGTTTTGCTAATATCGTTAGGTTTTTTAAGATGATAGGATTTAGTTAATGGACACTCATGAGGATAGTGGTTTGGGGTGCCTGTGTTATAGCAGAGGCACAGATTTGTGTCTAGTTTTTGTGTTCTGTGTAGAAATGATGGAAAGAAGCCATGTCCAGTTAAGAACTATTTAACAGCTGGATGGACTTTCAGTCTACCTGTGTTTACTTTAGGATAATATGTTTTGGTTGTGTGACCTTCTTCAGTTTCATCCCAGTAGGTTTGCCAGAGCATGGTGATTATTGCTTGTACTTTGTTCCTCGGACTCGATGGTGGGAGCAGAACATTACTGGGATTGCTTTGACCTGCTGCAGCGTCTTTAGCTGCTTGGTCAGCTGTTTCGTTGCCTGTTATACCTTTGTGCGCTGCCACCCAGTGTATTTGTAAATTGCTGTTACTGGATAGGTGTTCTAGTGATATTTGTGTTGAGGCTACGTGTGGGTCTTTTTGTTTTGTTTATAGCATATATGCTAGCCAAGCTGCCTGTGTGTATTGTCGCTTCAGGGCACTGTTGAAGCCGAGAGAGCAAAAGATGAAAAACAGAACAAGAAAAAACATAGCGGCCGAGAGGCCAATTAGGGTATTAGGACTATATTTTGAGGTTCAGTAGTCAGAAGCAGTCGAAAAAAGTTATGTTTCTTCAGAGACGCACGTTTTTATGTCCGATTTCATAATTAAAAATATCTCCAGTACTAATAAAATAACATCTTTAAAGTTAGACCCACGAACAATTACGATTGAGTCTTAGCACGTTAAAATCCGATCACTAGATCAAAAGTTATTCAATGTGTTTCATTATTTACCACTGAAAATCGAAGCGATAAAAACGAGAGTTGTAACCTGGAACCTGGTTAATCGAAGATTATTGGATAAAATGAAGAATTAAATGGTGCAAAAGGCGTAGTTGGCTGTATTTGCGAAAATTTAAATGAAATAGA